TCGTGGTCCAACCGCGTGTCAAATAGCTTTTTGCTATTTACTCCGCAGATGCTTAACACTAAATGGTATACGTTGTGTTGGGATTAAGCATCAACGTAGTGCATGATTTGGACACTCAAGCAAACATGCTCTCTTTTATTAGCGCACCCTGTTCCTGACCTAGGGACCGTGACCCTAATCAGTCAAGGTAATTAAAGAGCGGCTCCCTCTCATGATTTCGTACAGAATCACGCACACCAACCATCGTCATTTACAATAATCTCTCTGTTTCTGTTAGGTAAAGTGAGGTCAGGTAGGCCTAACTTACTCCCTTAATGGAGGGTAATCCTTAGCTTTTCTAGAAAGAACACCATTCAGTAACAGGTTGTGTCAAATAATGTGGCGGTGTTGTTTTCTGTTGGCTCGATCAACGGGTAGACCTTGACTTGGACCAGATTTGGCCGACGTCATACTTGGTTTCGTTCCTATAAACTTAAGCGGAAAGAAGCTCATTGTCCACCAACTTTTTTGTTCATTGGTTTTACACTAAAATTTGTGCTAGTATATGATACAAATGAAGGTACGAATCTTAAAGATAGTATTGATGCGTAGCACAAATCTCAAAGTATAATGAAGAGATAAAAAATTTGATAGTGAACAAGCGCTCATATCCACTTAAATTTATAGAAGATTTACCCCCTCTCTCTCTCTATATATATATATATAGAAGATAGTGAACAAGTGCTCATATCCACTTAATGGGTATCATTGATAAGGAAGAAGATTCCCTACTTGACAATGATGTGACACAATCGATCTCCACCATGTAAAATTCTCTCTCCTACTTTATTCTCTCTCATTTACATGATAGGGATTGTGTCACATCATTATCAAGGAGGAAAATCTCCTCCTTGTCAAGGATACTCATTAATCTCTCTCTCTCTCTCTCTCTATATATATATATATATATTATATATATATATATATATATAAGATTAATGTGTATCTTTGTTAAGGAGGGGATCGATTTCTCTCCTTGACGTCTATGTGGCACAATCTTCACCATTCTTATAAAGTAAGAGAGAGAATGTGAGTTGGTGGCGATTGTGTCACATAGGTGTCAAGGAGAAAAAACTCATCCTTGACATAGGACACCCATTAATGGCGAAGCTTGTCGGATTGGGATCCAACCAAACCCATTAACTCTTATTGGCTAGCCTCCTTAAAGCGTGCTTAGGATAATATAACTATCATATCAATCAAATCTTATCACATTGCAATTATTTCTAACCCTATGATTAAGGACTATAAGTAGGCTTCCTAATTTCAACTATAGGCTATGTGGCACTCTCCGTCTTTTTGTTGATGTTGTCAAATTTCAACAACATCAACAAGATTCTCCACGTTCTTGATATCCCCCCAAAAGGAATGATATGATTTTACTCATCAAACAGAGCGTTAATCATAGATCATTTTTTGCTTGTTACGTGCTGAATCAAACTCTTTGATCTCTTTTCGCTGTATGATGATCACGCAATTAGCTCCAATTAATAAATATGCATGCATGCACATGAGTTTCCAAAGATATAATTTGACTCAATTAGGAAGTGAAAGGTGTTAGAAAAAAAAGAATCAATGTAATATTTTCGTCAATCATGATCCTGATTTGAAAATAACATCCACATTATCTGTAATTTCAAATGATTATGGTAAGTATTCCTTTTCGACCTGAACATTAATTGGTGAAGAATTGACCTGATCACCCTAAAACTACCTCCTTTTAACATTTCATCGTGTCATATCACAGGCTTAATCCTGCACATTGCATGTTAAATCACAAGGGAACTTTTTTTTTACGCAATTTTATTGTTGAAAGCAACCGTACACACATATTCTTGTGTCTGGATGCAAAACTTGGACTCAATGGATCAAATTACAAAATCATGATCATCAAAAACTGGAATTAGTGACTTATTTAATATGATAGAGTCACCTCAAAGGCATGGAGTTTCCACTAGCTTTTTAGGGGTTATTCAGTTGGTTTACCAAAAAAAAAACATGAAATCTATTTCATGACAAATCCATTTAAAGTGTTTGGCTAAACTGAGTTTTATTAAAACATATGTGACTCAACTAATGATGATAAGATTACACAAAACTCATTATTTTTAAAGGGAGTAAGATATGACGCGATGATTTGATCATGAGTGAGACGTATGTGATTCAACCCGTTATTGAAGCTATATATCTACTCACTGTACAAATAGGAAAACCTAAGATTCACTATTCATATTACAGTAAATACTACAGTAGTACTTACTGTACCAGTTTCGCTGCAGCAAACATGAAATTGGATACTATAGCAATTTTGGAAAAAAATCACTGTAACACACGGGAATACTGTAACATCTAAAAAAAATGTAACAAAGGCGAACCGTAGCAACCCAAAAATCTTAAAAAATTACTATAGTATTTAAAAATCGAGATTACTATAACGAGAAAAAAAAATAATATGTCGTGTTTTAGACGATGTTCACGACTAGTAGTTACGAATACGGGTATAGTTTTTTGAAGGTCTCAGTCATTTATGATGCTCTGTCATTGGGCTTCCAAACTAGCCAAGGCTGCACAAGCCCACGCTTCTTGAATTAGGCCCACAGCTTTGAAACCGAAATCGCGGCAACGCCATCTTCCATTCAATTCCGGTACGTTGTTCCTGTGCTACGTCGCCGTCAGCCTGCTAACATGCTCCAACAACAAAAATGGCAGAATGAACCGAATGAATCAGCCCAACTACCACCATCTAAACTACACCGCAGGAGCAGCAGACGCAAAAGCATCAATAGTACACCTGAAGGTTCTAGAAGTATTGAAAAGTCGCCTCCATCCTCCCTTTTAATATTCCATCTGCTTCCAAACTGAACAGAGACCACAGACTTTGCACCCAATTTCTCACCCACTAATGGCCCCCGTCGAAGTCTGCGTCAAGGCCGCCGTCGGCAACCCTGAGATCCTCGGAGACTGTAGGTTTGCAAAAAGGTTCAGGTTTTATTCATTTGAAACCTTTTTAATTTTTTTTTATCGAATTAGGTCCATTTAGTCAGAGGGTTCTTCTCACTCTGGAGGAGAAGAAAGTCCCGTACGAGATGAAGCTGATCAATGTCGATAACAAGCCTGATTGGTAATTTATCGTCTCTCCCACTTTTGATTTGTTTATTTTTTTTATTAAAAAAAACCATAAATGGGTTTAAATGTAAATTATAGGTTTTTGGAGATCAACCCTGAAGGAAAGGTACCTTTGTTTAAAGGGGAGGATGGCAAATGGGTTGCGGATTCGGATGTTATTACTGGAATTATTGAAGAGAAATACCCGGATCCGTCTTTGGTTACACCACCTGAGTACTCTTCAGTGTAAGCATATGCTCATGTTTTCACTTTTTTCTGGCCGTAAAAAAAAGGTTGTTAATATTTTTAATCTCAACTCGCAAGCAGATACTGGAAGAATAATGCACTCTTGTTGATTGATATTTTACTGTGTCACATTTTGTCAATCAATATTATAAGTTACAGTGATGAGCTTGTCTCAATGAAGTAATAGTTTTAGTTGTGTATGTCTTGATTTGTTGGGTTATCTTATTGACCTATTTAACTATGGGATCTGACTCAAAACTGGTTCTGATGTCACCTCAATCTGTTAGAATTTATTGTTCATTTATAATTTGCTTTTAGTCTTCAGTTTTGCTTCAAACATCTCTTCATTTAGGTGGTGTTTGTCTGCACTAGTTGGTGTCACATGTTATTCCAATGACAATGTAATTCAATAACACTTGTTCATTGCAAAAGGTGTAGCGAAATAGAATGACCATGTTTAAGTTTATTTATCAAGTTAGAGAATTGTGTTGGTCAAGCATTGGGTTGCATCCCCGACTCCTGTTGTTGATGTTTAATATCAACAGAATAATCCAGAAGAGAATGGTTACGGGATGGTGAAGGATGATGAAGTGCCCGCTCCCTTCTTCGACTTTATACTTGGTTCTTGAACGAGGGCTTGATGTCCATGCTGCACAAACAAGAAGAAACCATGAGAGGGCGGGGACCAGTTCCCCCGTGGTACCTCCGACGATCAAGTCAGTTGATGAACTTAAGCTTGAGTGGAGTAATAAAACTATGTGTTCTTATGCTATGTGCATTAGAGATGATGATCTCTGAGATTTAGGTCAGGAGGAGAGTTTAGATTGTAAACCTCTTTCTCTTGCTACGGCGAATAACATTTGTATATATAGAGAATGACCAATGACAGATTGGTCACTTTGGTCATGCAAATGACGGTGACAAAGTGTGAGCTGCAAGGTGGGTCATCCTTTGCTCTACACGCGTCGACTGATGACTGGAGGGGAAGTCACTTCGTCACGGGAGATGATTTCTTCGTATTTTTCGGGAAGTGATTGATAGTGTGGCAGAAGGCATGTGGGCATACTACGTGGGTATACTGAATCATCACTCGTTTTATAGGTGTCAGCTGACAACTGGAGGAGAAGTCCCTTCGGTATGGGAGAAGGTATCTTCGTATTTTTCGGGAAGTGATTGAGCTGACAAGTCAGGCCAAAATCTAGATAAAGCTTGTTCGAGGCGGACTAAGATGTCGACATATGCTCTGGGATAGAGGCTAGGGGTTGGGGCCGAATTCTCAATTTAATTGGTAGTAGGGAATGTCCCTCTGGTTGTCTCTGAGAATTGCCCAGTGAGTGGTTGAGTGCCCTAAGTAGGGTCGTCATTGATGATAGGATCGACCGATACCGTCTTTCGCGTCGACTCAGGAATATCGGCCTGTCCAACTAGTTAGAATGTCGTCTCGTCTCAGCTAATAATCGTCTCTCGAGTCGATATAAAAGTGTCGACTTGTATGGGAGGTCAGGATCTCTCGTGCTGACCGATATCGTCTTTGGTGTCGACACCAGAGAGTCAGCTTGATGAGTCGATGGGGGCCGAGGCCTTTGTGATTGTGCATTAGGTTTATCCCTGATAAGGTACCATGGTCTTGTAATTAGCCATGATGATCGAGTTGTACTGGAAGATTCGACCATATGTTGTGCCTTGAGCTTACCTTGAAAAAGATCCTAGGGTTTGAAATTTGACTGAGGAATCGTTGTGCCTTGGGTTTACCCTAAAAATGTACCAAGGGCTTAAAATTCGACTGAGGAGTCGAATGTCTAGAACTCTTGAGAGTTGACTAGGGTTTTCCTTCCCTTAAGGCCGAGAGACACTTGTGGGAGTCGGCCAAAGGGTTAAGTTTGTTTTGCTAGGACCCTTATTGTATCATTTTGCAAATATTCATATCTTTGGTGAGTGAACACCATAACATCTGTAATAACACTTGTAATTGGAGCGACACATCGTTGGAGATACATTGCTTCTCCAAATACAAACAACCAAGCACGATCTTAGTTTTTTGCGTTAAGTTTAGAAGGGAGTAACTTATTACTACTCTTTGAGTGTTAGTTATGCTTTGCTGCCCTATTTGTTGAACTCTGAAGAGTCATATAAGTTCTTATTGAATTGTGTAATTGTAGTTGTCCCTTTAAAGAAGTGATGTCATGCAACAAACTCTTAAGCATGTGAAACTGGAGTTAAGTTTTATCACCTCTAAATATGCTAGTTCATGAGAATAGCAATCTGATATCATGCATTTTTGCTATGTATTCAAGACCTTAAGCCTTATAATTGTTTGTATTTCAGGGGATCGAAGATATTTCCTTCTTTTGTCAAGTTCTTGCGAAGCAAGGATCCGAATGATGGCACAGAGAAAGCTTTGCTTGAGGAATTGCAAGCTCTGGATGATCATCTCAAAGCTCATGTACTTAAGTCATATTTAGGAATGTGAATGGATTTTGATTTACCCTGTGTGCTGATATGAATATTACTATCTGCATATATTTGCATATGGATGCAGATAGTAGAATTGACATGTAGTCTTAAGTAGCACATAACTGAAATAAAGTTAATCATTAATCAATGATCATATTCTTAATATTTAAGCATATATTATTCTATCCGTAACCAATCTTAACTGAATGAGCTTACACAAATTCACTTAAATCTCTTAAGACCTCGTCATTGTTAATTAATTCATTTATTTCAGTAATTGTTGCATCGATTATATTGGTGTTTATATCTATTTATGCTTGATATGGTCAATGCTCATATTTTATGGTCAATGCTCATATTTTATTCGTGTTTGCATTCCCTTTTTCACGGTTATAAATACTAGATTTCCTTCCAATAATGATCTGTGTCTAGGTTCATATTTGATAAATGATTCCAGATATGGATATTGTAATATGTAAAACCTATATCCGATCTGTATCAGTCTGTTACATTTTAGGCATAGTGCTTGATCTAGTTATTGAGGTTGTTTGCAATTTGATAGTTAATATAAGAAATTTGATTCCTATTTCTTGACATGTTGTTTGCAGGGCCCATATGTTGGTGGTGAGAAAATCTCTGCAGTTGATTTGAGCTTGGGGCCTAAGTTGTTTCATCTTGACATTGCTCTTGATCATTTCAAAGGATGGAAAATCCCAGAAAATCTGACTAATGTCCACTCATACATGCAGGTATCGGTTATAACTGTCTCAGCTGCATGTTTAGCGTTTGGTAACATTCTGCCTGTCGTCAATGTTTACTAACTCATCCAAAATGTATCTTAATTATACGGCTTTCCTATTTTATTTGGTTGCTGGAATAATTGAACCATACTTCATGCCTTCTATTCTTAATTGACATTCAAAGTGGCATCTCATTTATAGTTATAGCGTGATAACTGAAGAATAAAACAGTCTTGCTGAACAAAATGAGATATTTATTATAGAAGCCTCAGTAAGTTTTAAAAAGTAATTTTTTTTAAAATTTTTGACAGTTAACAGTTAACCAGAACATAAGTGGGTGTATTACATAATTTGTATGCAATTACTTTTCCTGATTTACATGCCCGTTGTGGACGGCAAATAATGTTTCTACCTCCGTTTTAATCGGACCATAGACCTTGATGATTTTAATGTGAAATGAATTGTCCTTGTATTTTGATCTTAATTTTTGATGTGAATTCTTTTATATGCAGCTGCTCTTCAATCGGGAGTCATTCGTAAAGACCAAGGCTGCGAGAGAGTACGTCATTGCTGGGTGGGCACCTAAAGTGAATGCCTGAAGCTGTCTCTAGGAACAATAATTAGCTGAAACTGCAGGTTGTCTTAAGGAGTAGCTATGTGCTTAGTTATGTTTAGTGTTTGTACCGTAGCTCTCCTATGATTAGTAATTAGTGCCTATGATTAGTAATGAGTGCAGTTTAGAGGTTTATGAGTGCTCCATATGTGAAGATGGGGAAAAGCACAGCTTCTCTGGTAGTTTTTATTTCAATATGTGTGCGTGACGAAGGTATCCAATGTATTGTGTGTTTCTAAGAATTGGAGGCTTTATTGCTGGTTTGAACATGTTTACCGAAATACTGGGTCTCCATGCTTTGTGCTTCTTCGCGGTTATCTGAAGCATCATGTTTTGAATTATCGTCTGAAGTGAAATATTCGTTATTTGGCTGGTAGTAGTATCGTTTTCGGACATAATATGTTCAATTTCCTAACGTGTGGCCATAGTCTCATCACATTGGCAAAGAGATCTCTGTATGGTATGTTGTATTTTTCGGAAGTAAATAAGAAATGTGAGATGATAGTAAACGTACGGGGACGATGATCCAAGATAGAACTGAACGGCGAGAATATGATGATTCAGGATAGGATTGAACGGCAAGAATATGATTGATGCAGTTTATCAATAATTTGGGATAAGAACTTTGCTGCTGATGTTGCATTTTTATTAATTTTGAGGAGATAAATTGTTATCAATATGAATCAGTGATTACATGTCAACTGAAGAAATTGATTATTGTTACCATCCTTTGCCTTCATGATTATAATAATTTTTAATATCTTTTTCCATGTGATTGGTTCAGCGGATGCTTTTTACTGTTTGATTTGCTGCTTTGTAATCTGCATTAATTGATTGCAGATCCATCGACATCTCTCATATAAAATACTTACAATTCTTAGTTTACGGGATTAAGGATTTGCTTATTTGAAGGGAACCCAAGTTTTCTATGCTAGTAGAAGATGAAGTTTCTTTAGTTTTGCAAGCGTCGAAAGTGAAGGCGTGCTTGGTTTTTAGTCCCACATCGGGTACCACAGATGAGGTGGGCTGAGCTGCGTGCTATTTAAGCGGGGTCGGGTGCAGCGTTTTAAAATTGCCTTAAACTAATGAGTAAGGAAAACAAAGCGGGCGGCGGGAGCTGCTCGCCGCGCTAACAAAAAATTGTGCGCAGGAATTTATGGAGGGGGAATAGGCTGGCCGAGTGCTGACGCTGCTTACTTCGCAGAACTCGCTCGTGCGGGCCTCCCAGCCCACCAAAGCCCAACTTAAATTTGCCGAAAGAGAATTAATCGTAATCAAGTTTTCTGAAACTGAGAAAACTATCTATGTACTCTTAATATTTTTCAATTTATGAATTCACGGATGGAAAGGTATTTGTTTATTTGTGCCTTTAAATTTGATTCCAAATCTAAAAGTTAAAAAAAATATAGTTAGAATATTTTTTTATATTTACTCAATTGATTTAATTATTTTATAAAAAAAGAAAATTTTATTTTAAACCCAATCTAATTTTTATTTTTAAAAACTAACCCACTCCTGTTTTAATCACCAAAATCGACCAATTTCGTGGCCACGTCAGCAACGTGGCCATGAAGCGGGTCGATTTTTTTAAAACAGGTTGCTAAATAGTAGGGGTTGCCAACCCTGACTAAATTAGCAAATGTACAAGCTAAATTAGTCGGGGATCGCAACCCCGACATATTTAGCATAATTTTTTTTTCAAAATGGTCGGGGTTCCCAACCCTGACCATTTGATTTTATTCTCTCCAGCCACACGTGTGAGTCTCTCCATCCAAATTCAATAGAAGCTGAACGCGTGAGCCCGCAATTTGGACCCTGAGACTAATTTAGCATTCAAAATCGTCTGCGGCCTTGTCATCTACAAGGTTTGCCGGCTACGGCGGCGACGCCGACGACATCCCAGTTCTTGAATTTTAATTGGAGGTGAATTGGATTTTGATGGGGGATTATTGTTTTTTTATATGAAGGGAGATGACAAAGCAATTGATAATTCTGGAGATGAATGCGATCCATAATTTAAGAACATGTTGAAAGGGGAAGCAAAGTAATTAGCGTCAATCATCAAATAAAATGATCGGGTTTGGGAACCCCGACCATTTCGAAAAAAGCTGTGCTAAATATATCGGGGTTGCGAACCCCGACTAATTTAGCTTGTACATTTGTTAAATAGTTGGGGTTGGCAATCCCTACTATTTAGCAAGCTGTTTAAAAAAAATCGATCCGTTTCGAAATGGGTCGATTTTGGTAATTAAAACGGGAGTGGGTCGGTTTTCAAAAATAAAAATTAGATTGAGTTTAAAATGAAAATTTCTTCTTTTATAAAAATATCAAATTATATATTTCACTGTTATTTTTTTACTTGAGGGAATTTTATAGAGCATTATCATGGAAAAATCCTAGGTTGTCAGCTTGTATTTTTAATTTTTCTTGTGTTTTAACAGATATGTCATCGCTTAGTTTTATGTGTTTCGTTCCAAATTCCAATCTAATGATGTATAACATGTTCACCGTACAATTAGGAGAAAAAAAAAGGAGAGCTGAAGAACAAATTATTAGCGAAAATAAATAGTTCCAGTCGGAGTCGTGAATGAAGTTTGAAAGTTCGAAAACAGAGAAATGGTAGTGGGAGTGTGGGATCCGTTTGAATAATAATTATGAGGTAACAATGAAACTATGGATCGCTACTCATTTTTCTGAAACATGAAATTGCGACTAATTCTTATTGTCCTCTTTGAGGCTCGGGCAATGAAAGTATGAAACTATGGATCACCTATTCATCTCGTGTAGCTTTTCATGCTCAATTTGGTATCTCACTGGCTTTTCAACCCCACCTTCGTCCTCTTTGAAATTCCAACTCTTTATTCATGTCTATCAGACACGATGTATTTTTTGATGTTGAAATTGTTATTCCTACATTTTATCAATTCTCATTTTATGTTGGAATTATCATTACCAGTCATTTAACAAGGATTTAATATTCTCACTTAAGTGAGAATGAAAATAATCAAATAAATTCTGATTATACTCACCTTAAAAGATACAAATAGATATAAATTCTCATGTGAAAAATTATTTCTATAGAAAAATATCATTAGCTCATCGTACAAATATATGAATAGATGTAAAATATTAAAATATAGTTGTTCGACTTTTTCCTAGTTCCACATCGCGTCTGCAGTAGAAAAAAAAATCTTTGTTTTCCCCTCAACGCCACTTGGCGTAAGTAATCATTTTTTTGTTTTAAAATATATATGTGTGGCTAATATTTTATGATTATAATATGTGATATAATTTTATCTTTAACATGTGATATAATTTTTGTTGACCCTATAGTTTTGATGATGATTTGACAAACAATTTATTACTAATAAGCCTTCCAGTGTTTTGTGTTTATGTTCTCTTTTCAGGTATTTCAACACACGTAAATCAAGCGTTAAAGATTCAAGTTCATTTGCGTGGATCTACCTAGGTATATGTTTAGTTTACTTACATATATAGTATGATTATATCTAAGCTCAATATATATACACTTAACACGATTTTTGACGCTTTCTATCATATAAATGATTTTTCATTAAACGTTGTTAAAATATCTTTATCTCTTATTTACAGCTCTCTCATACTTTATTATATACATATAATATATGCACAATATACATATGAATATTTACAAGTCCTATATCAAACTTTCACTTTCATAAAAATACAGGTCTTCTAAGCATTTTTCAAAAACAGGTAGTTTTCACAAACGAAATTTGTTTTTCCAAAAATTCCTTTTCAAACATGTTCATTTCATCATTTATAAACTTTCCCCAAAGTTTCACTATTTTTGGATATGAATTGATATTTTTGACGAATTTTCAAAACTGACCCAAAACCTGTCAATTTACCCATATCAGATTTCGGTCGACCGTATCGGTCGACCGACGGTAGTCTGCTTTCTTAGATTTGCTTTAACAATTTTCCGGTCGACCGGAATTTACGTCGGTCGACCGAAATATCCATTCGGTCGACCGAAAGAAGTTTTCTAAACTCTTTCCTATATAGCTTATTATTTCACTTTCAATTTGATTAGCTATATTCATTAAGTTATTTATTGGTTTTGATTCACTATTATCACACACACTTATTGAGCTTTATATTCTCATATTATATTGTGGGTTGTGGTGTGGGATTTAGTGAGTGTGAGCTTCATTGTGTTCTCACTTGTTAATTGAGAACAAATCATTGTATTTAACTTTTATTTGTGAGAATCACTTGTAATACACTTGTACACCGAGAGAAGTGTGAGGAGAGAGAGACGGGGTCAAATCCAATAGGAGTGGCGTCGATTGACGAACCTAGGGAGAGGTTGTAATCGAGCACTTGAGGAGGAGGACACGGGCTAGATTCCTACACTTAGTGTGTAAAGTGTGATTATTGAGTGACTGTGTAGTGTGAGAGTTTTCGGTGAACTTGTAAACCGAGTGTGTAGAAGTTCCGGCTTCCAAACCGGGTTGTGATAGTGGATATCTCCTCGAGGTGAGGAGCGGGGACGTAGGTCGTGGGGACCGAACCTCGTAAACATATCGTGTGTTTGTATTTTGCTTGTCTCACATTTTATTTGTGCATACTCTTATTACTCTTATTATTCTTATTGTTCTTATTGTTCATATCTATCTCTTGTAAGAACATATTGATCAACATAATTTTAATTGCTATTAATTGGGATTAGATTAGCATAAGACCCTAATCACCCCCCCTCTAGGGTCTAACAATTTTATCATTGGATGTATAATTTGAAGTTTTATTGAAGCATAGCCGTCTAATCTTTACAATAATTTTTTCAAAGCATTCACAATAAGAAACAATGTGTTTAATTGGTGAGAGGTGTGTTTGGAACTTTATATTTTAATTAGAGGCTAACATATTTTCTATTCCTTTAAACTTTCTAGGTTAACATATTTTCTATTCCTAATCAATTTTTTGAAAGTTAAAGATGCATTTGAAATTTCATAGAAATTTTATATACACACTAAAAGTAAAAAATCTTTCTAATCCTTCAAAATTTAGTGTTTTCTTCTTCTCTCTCTTCATGCATCCATATGGAATTCAGACATAAATCATGTAGCATGCATATGGAATTCAGTATATTGTATACGTTTGTGCTTTGTTTAGTTGTGCAGTATGTCGTGTGTATGTATAAATTTTTGAGACTTCTGTTGTGTGTTACAGTCAGTAACAAGGTATGTTTATGTTGACATATTATTCGGGGTACTTGTCAGTTCTCTCGTCGAAGACGACTCGCTATGAGCCTACTTAGGGCTGTCCATCCGGGCCGGCCCGGCCCGGCCCGGCCCGG